AAGACATTTTTTTAAAAGTTTATAAACAAAATCGAAAATAATTTCATTCTTGGTATTTGATTTACAAAATTATCATTCATGTTTTTTTCATGATTCTCTTTTATATATTTTCTTGTTTTCATCCTTTATGAATTGATACAATTTTTATTAAGATGATTTTTCTATGTTAAAACATCACTTTTGGTAATATACCATGTTTTCAATTATTTTAACAATGTGTTTATGTTTATGGGATCATTATAAAACACTCTTCTGATGATATTTATGTGTTTGAGCTTCCGGATCATCTATTTGTGGTTTATAATGTATTCTGTATGTGGTTTGATCAAATTTCACAAAGAAGGTTCTCTTTATTGATCAACCATATTTTTTTCTTTGTTCTTGAGCTTTCATATGAGAGGTTTATGGTTTGAGCAACCCCCCTAGAGGTTTACCGGATGCTAAAAGCTTTATTTGGGTTGAAACTTGTTTCAAGAGCTTGTTATGCTCACCTCTCTTGCTTTTGTCGAAAATGATACAATATATACACTTTGAATTTATTTTAGTATTATTTTAGGATTTTATTTGAACCTTCATGAGGTTCATGATTTTATTTTATTTTTATTTCATGATCTACTTTTGTTTATATCCAAATAATGTTTTATGATTGGATATTAAGACACCTTTCTATTTATGCTCTCAATCAATCATGTTTTATGGTTGATAATTTGTAATTTTTTAAATCATTTAATGTTAGATTTTCTTTTAATTTTTTTTAAAATCTTTTAGGTTATATGTTTTAGACTCTTGTAGCACCTTATCTTCATGATACATGCATATGTGTTTACTTGGTCTTCTTTAATGTGAGTTGTGTTTAGGATATTCTATATCCATGCTTATTCACATTTGTTTGTCATGTTCATAATTGCATATTTTCTATATGACTTTTTGATAGGGGGAGCCTTCCCCATATTTTTGTTTATACTTACCTATGCCTTATGATAGGGGGAGCTTTCGCTCTCTTATTCTTTTGTTTCCCCATTTTGATGTTGTCAAAGGGGGAGATACAAGTAGATTGTGAGTATATTTTAAGAGTATTGTGTTTTATTATATATCTTATATACTCTTTGTGTAGATTGTTTGTCATCATCAAAAATGGGGAGATTATTAGGTCTTATGTTATGAGCCTACATCTTTTAATCTTGTTTTGATGATTATAAACAATTCCTAATATTATTTGTCTAGTGTTTATGTTTTCTTATTAGGTATTCTAGACAAACAATATGTTATAGGATGGATGAAATCGTGCTTCAACGATCTAATCAAATGGAGGTTGGCGGAATAGTGGAATGAAGCCTATGCATACTAGTCAAGATCCAAGTTCAAGCTTCTTCCATGTTTACCAAGACAAGCTACAATGAAGATCTATCAAGCTTAGGTAAATTTAGTTTAAGATTTATATAATGTGTGTTAATTCTATAAGCTCAAATATACACACACATTTTATTTGTGAATTTTCTCAAATATAGGAGTTTTTATACAAAATATGTTTTAATATGTTTTGGACTATATATACATCATAAACATCTTTTATTATGTCCATATAAATATTCCATAAGTTTTTAAAACTTGTTTTGAGTCAAAAATAAAAAATCACATGTTTTATTAAACATGTATTTTAGTGTTTTTGAATATTTTTGAGATTTCATAAATGGTAAGAGCAAATTGAAAAATTCCTTTTCCAACATGATCATAATCATGTTTATAAACTTTTTCCAAAGTTTTATATTTTTTAGAATTTATTTGCTATTTTTAAAAGGACTTTAAAATTCATTTTCAAAAATCATTTCAGGCTGATAACCTGTTATCAGTCGACTGATGACATCAGTCCACTGATAAGTCGACTGAAGAATGTGTCTGTAATATTTAAAAGTTTTTGATTCATTTTGGTCGACTGACCAGTTGACTCATGATCCATCAGTTGACTGATAAAGGTCGTTAGTCGACTGATGAGCTGGTAAATGCCTACAACGGTCAGCTCATCAGTCGACTGATGAAACCCGTCGGTTGACTAACGGCCCAACAACTAGTTTTTCCAGCCTTCTTTTTTTATCTTTTTACTGGATTTGTTTGGGTTTTGTGCCTTGGTTTTTCTTCCTATATAAACCCCTATTGTTCTCATCAGAGAAAAGTTTTTTGAAGAGGATTTTAAAGTGTTTTAAAGTTTGTTTAAGTTTTCAAGTTTGAGTTTATAAAGAGGAGGCTTGCATTTTTAATTGAGGAATTCATCCTCAATCTTCTTCAACCTCTTTGTGTTTATAGAGAAAATTTTCTAACTCTTTTCTCTAGTAATTTTATTATTGATTTTCATATTATTATTATTGCTAGTTTGCTAATTGAGTTAGATTTTATTTATACTCACTTTATCACACACATTCTATTTGAGCTCGTAGCATTTTATACATCATATATTGGGTTGTGGGTTTGTGATTTGTGAGATTGAGCTTACATTGAGTTCTCATCCAATTAGAGAACATTTTATTATAATTGAGCTTTATTGTGAGTTACACGTTGTATCACACTTGTACACCGAGAGGAGTGTGTGGTGAGAGACGGGGTTATCCCAAGAGGAGTGGCGTCGGTAGTAAAGCCTGGAGGTAGGTCGTAATTCTGAGCACTTGAGGGAAACACGGGCTAGAGACTAACACTTAGAGGGTGTAGAGTGTGATTACAATTGTGTGTGTTGTAAAGTTTTCGGTGAACTAGAAAACTGAATTGTGAGGTGTAAATGTTGTTCGGGTGAGCTTAGAAAACCCGGTTATGATAATGGATTTCTCACCGGGAGTAGGGAGCGGAGACATAGGACGGAAGGTCCAAACTCTGTGATCATCCTTGTGTGTTAGAGTTTGCATTGGCGTATCATTTGTGTCTAGTGCTTAGTCTTTTTATTCGCCTTTGCCCATTGTTTATATTGCTCATATCACATTGTATATCTATTTTGCAAGAATAATTTGTTAATAATTTTTAATCGGCATTAATATCTAATAAGATTAGCAATAACCCTATTCACCCCTCTCTAGGGTACTTTCAACCCAACCTGATGATGAATTTCTCGTTTATCGAGATAAAATTCTAATTTCGGCCCTAACTGTTTAATGGTTAGACCAAGTGGGAATTTTGAAATGACCCTAACTATAGGAAGGTTTGATCGCCTGATGTGGGGGGGGGAAGACTCTCGTTTATTAAAAAAATTCTGGTTTTAGTCCTAACTGTTTAAATGTTTAACCAAATGGGAGTTTGAGACAACCCTAACTGTTTAAAGGTTTGATCGTTTAATTTAAAAGTGGACCTCTCGTTCATGGAAGAAATAGAGATGGGATTTTGGCTTTGGCTCTAACTATTTAAAGGTTTGACCAAGTAGGGGTTTGAGGCGATCCTAATTATTTAAATGTGTGATCGTTCAATTTGAAAGTGGACTCTTATTCTTAGAAGGAATCGAGAGGGGATTTTGGCTTTGGCCCTAACTGTTTAAATGTTTGACCAAATAAGGGTTTGAGACGATCCTAACTGTTTTAAGGTTTGATCGTTCAATTTGGAAGTAGACCTCTCGTTCATTGAAGGTATCGAGAGGAGATTTTGACTTTGGCCCTAACTGTTCGAAGATTTGACCAAGTGGGATGTTGAGACGACCCTAACTGTTTAAATGTTTGATCGTTCAATTTGAAAGAGGACCTCTAGTTCATGGAAGGAATTGAGAGGGGATATTGGCTTTAGTCCTAACTGTTCAAAGGTTTGACCAAATAAGAGTTTGAGACAACCCTAATTATTTAAATGTTTGATCATTCAATTTGAAAGTAGACCTCATGTTCATGGAAGGAATCGAGAGGGGATTTTGGCTTTAGCCCTAACTGTTTAAAGGTTTGGCCAAATTGGCAGTGGGAGTAGAGGTACAAATAACAGTGAGAATGTTGACTTGTACAAATCACTCAGTGGGGATTATTGGTGTCAAGTGGCTAGGACTTAACAAGAAGGGGTTTGTTAATCGCCATGGATCAGCAGATTAAAATTTTGGATGTCGTGTCAGGACTTCAACAGTGGGAGTGTTAAAGGCTTAGACATAGTGGGAGTTTGAATGGATTTCATCGTGAAGACTTTGATGGAATCACGTCAATTAATTTGATTAGTGAGGGATTTTATGGTGGAGGACCATGAATCATTAAGCACTGCACAATTACACCCTGCGAGTTTCGTGAGGAAAGATTGACCATATGCAGTTGTTGAATCTCATCTCAAGGAAAGAGGTGCTCCGAAAGTCACAGTGGGAGGGTTTTAATCAACTTGTAAATGATTAAATAGCCATAGTGTGAGGTTCTTAATCATGATTAAGAATAAATTATTTTGATGATTAGTTTGTACCTTGAATAATCAATCGGTTTTGGGTTATCCTTAAGAATACCATGTGTAGTCTTCTCCAGGAACTTTCTATTCGAATGTATTGAGGTATTCCACCCCTAGCTCTTTGGCAAACCTGAATCTAATTATATTTGGCCATATTGTCGAGTTATCCTTAAGAATATTAAGAGTAATATTCTCTAGGAACTTCCTGTTGTTGGAAATAAGGGAAGCAATTTAACCTTGTATACCCATCGGAGAAAGTCGGGTTATCCTTAAAATATTATGTGTAATATTCTCTAGGAACTTCCTGTCAAAGGTAGGGAATAGTTTAATCTCGTATACCAGTTGGAGGTCATGGAGAAGTAGTTTATACTCGTATACTCTTTGGAATTTTGGAGAAGCAGTTTATACTCGTATACTCTTTGGAGTATTCGTCGTTCTCATTTGGCTTGTTTCGTCGTTATAATGCCGTTGTTAAACAAGGCTTGGATTTTGTCTTTAAGAATAAAGCAAGCCTTAGTGGGATGATGGACCCTCTTGTGATAAGCACGGTACTTTGGATCTGAAGTTTTATCGGCTTCCTCTTAATTTTTAACAGGTGACAACTTGATTTTGTTGTTGTTCAGGAGGTACTTGAACATGGCTAGAACCTCATCATCCTTGAAGGAGTACTGTTGTGTCTGAGGTGACTGTTGTGACGATTGCTGTCGCGACTGTCGCTGTAATGTGTGATTAACATAAACAGCAGTTGTAGGTGTTGTCGGTTGTCCTCTCTCTGCCTTCTTTCTTCTGAGGAAGTGTTTGGGTTGTTCGCCACGTAGTTTTAACTCTTTCCAAGTAGCTGAAGGCACGACCCCTAGGGCTTGCAGGACATCAATGGAGAGATTGTTATGGCATGTCTGCAAGATGAACTCCTTTGTGACAGTACCCCAACAATTCATTTCCTTATTTTGGAAGCGTTTGACAAAGCTGTCAACTGACTCTCCGTCCTTCTGTTTCTCGTCCAACAGAGCTCCGATTGATACTTCGGTGTCATCATCGAAGAAGTTACTGAGGAATAGATTCTCCATGTTATCCCAGTAGTTAATGCTCCCTGGCTTGAGACGTCGATACCAATCGAAGGCAGCTCCATGAAGGGTGCCCATGAATGACCGAATCATCAAGGGTTTATTTCTGAAGATTATACTCAAATGGGATTTGAAGTAGGCCAAGTGTTGGGTTGGCGAGCCTCTCCCATCAAATAGTGTGAAGTTAATTAAATTGAACTTCGATGGGTACGGAATTGACTCCCACTCCCTTGGGTATGGACACGGAATGTCAGTCTTCTTTACTTCTTGAGCAGACATCAAGGCATTTACCTTATTCTCGAGGTCTTTCATCATCTCGTCGTCGCATTCATCTCTCTTTGAGTGATGTTGAGGAGAAGCAATTGGGCCAACCCCAGTTTTATTGAGGGGTGCAATTGAACTATCCCCAGTGTTATCGAGGGGTGCATCAACCTTGATGACTTCATCCACTTCTGGATCACTATCATCTGCACCGTGTAGTGGATCATTATCGTATAGTGTGAGTATATTTATGAGTATTGTGCGTTATTGCATATTTTATATATACTCTTTGTGTAGATTGTTTGTCATCGTCAAAACAAAAATGCCAACAATATCGTTAGACGTGACTGCGGAGTAAGTGTCTGACACTTCATCATCTGAGGATAGTCCTTTTTGCATCCTCTAATAATCTACCTCTAATCAACCCCTGTTGGAGCTGAGTTATATGCTGGGATATCCCTAGAAAAGAGTCAGGAGTGGAACGTCGTGTTAACTTTCCTTTATCGTCCATATTGATGGTGACTTTTGGGAGTTCGTCATCCTGACCAACTGATTTTTTTTGCAGAAGCATCATGATTTAGATTTGGACGCTTCAGTGGAGATCCTTTTAAATACTGAGATCTATAGGCGTCAAAAAATGCTGAGAGATATCCAAACACAGCTCAAAAGGAAGTCATCCAAAATGTCAAAAAGAACACAAGTATAGACTGTCTCGCACGCGAGACAGTCTTTACTGTCTCCCACGTGAGATAGACTGACTATCTCTGCCGTGGCGAGACATGTCTTTACGTGTCTCGCGGGCGAGACAGACTTTTACGTGTTCGTCCCACAGGGCGAGACAGTCTCCATTGTCGTCGCTGTGCGAGACAGTTTACTGTCTCGCGCTTGTACAGAATTACTTATGCTCGCACGTGAGACAGCTCTGCAGAGTCAAAAACTACTTTGCAATACCGCCAACACGTGGCCCACTAACCTTTCAGAACGTGGGAAACGTCAGGGCAGAATCACGTGATAACTGGCAAGAATAACGGAGTTGAAAACGTGGCGAAGGCAGTTACACGAAAACACTACAGAATATTCCTTTTCCGAGACGTTGTTACTGTCTCGTGGGCCGAGACGAAAACACTGTCTCGCCCGCCGAGACAGCACACACTGTCTCGGCAGCGCGAGACAGCAAATGCTGTCTCGCGAGCTTGTTTTCCGCCAACTGTTCCTAGGGGCTATAAATACCCCCCGAAGGCCATTTTTGAGGGAGGGCTGATCATTTTGAGCACTCCAGAGCAGACAGAGCAGAGTTCTTGAGCTTCCGATAATCCCTTGAGATTCGAGCTTTGACTTGATTTCAAGAAGAACGACTATCTTACTTTGATAAGATATTGTTTTAAATTCTCACTTTGATAAATGAAGAAAGAATCATTAAACCCCTCACGATTCAATCAGAATCTGTGATTTGGTGGTCCACGAGTCAAAGCGCTCCCGGCACAAGCAAAGATCCCACGCAAGCAGCGATCCAAACAACGATCCTGCGTTTGTTTCTCAAGAGTTGTAATTTTTTTCCTTTTGTTGTGTAAAAGGAGTCTTATAAAAAGGCTATCTCTTTTATTGAATTTATTGTAATCGATCGAAGATATAATGAATTCCATGATAAAGTCAACTTTTGACGCAAACAAGCTGGCGACCACAGTGGGAGCCAACAGTCTCACTGTCGAGACCGTCGTGTCGCAGCCAACCATCAAGATCCCGGTTGAATCAACGGTCAAGTACGAGTTCGACCAAGCAAAGTTTGAGGAGTATTTATCATCCTCATCTGTAAAGTCTTCCTCGCCTCGTAAATGCAGGAAGATTTCATCTTTGTTGAAGTTGTCAAACACTACGGATGAAGACTCTCGCTTAATTGTTGCTGAGGATTCTACTCGCAACCTCTCTGCTCATAATGACTCTTCTTCAATTAAGGAGTCATTAAATCAAAGCCCGCCAGCATTGACGAAAAGAGCTCATCAGAGACAACGCCAACGCCGCGCTCGCCAAATGGCTAAGGCTTTGGAACAACCCGATGGAGTTCGTTATCATGCAGACTTAGAGTCGAGGAGGCATCGAGTGGTTCAGTTGTCTCAACGACTAATCACTCATGTCTCTGCTAAACTCACGACGGAGGAATGGACTATTGTCAAAAGGGCTCGTTCGACCCTCATAGAACGTATACAAAAACGTCGTGCAAACGCTGCTCATGCCTGTGCTCTCTTACAACGAAGACGAGAAAGAAACAAGGAAACGGTGGCCAAAGAACCACCAAAACTCTGCAAAGTTTGGATTCCAAAAACTGGAGTTGTGAAAAATCAGCATTCGGAGCCCGTTAAGACTCTACACCCGCAAGGGGGTGGTTCTAAACGTATGACTCTTGACATAATCTTGGATCGCTCAGAGGCGACGACAAGTCATCCTGGGTATGTTAACAAGGTTCAAACACAAAAACAGAAGATAGGTTGCTCTGGTCACCATGCTGACGAGTTGTACTATCAAACTAAAGGTGGAAACAAATCACATAAAAGGACTGTTCGAGAAACGAATCGTCATTGTGTATGTGAAAAACTTATCAAAGCAGTGTTGTACAAATGCAACTGCTTTAAAGCCATTCCGCCGAAAGTTTCTGTGTTCCAGAGACTTTCTACTGAAATGTCGAAGCCGAATTTCCTGAAGTCACCATCAACATGGCTGATAAAGGAAAATCTAAGTGGCATTCAAGTGAACCAAACCCCGACTTTTCCCCGGGAGGAAAAGTCAATCCAAGAATTACTCAACGGATGTCTCGACTCCAGCTAGGAGCTATCAGGCGTAAAGACTACAAGAGAATGCAAGAAGGAATGTCCTCGAAAGATGAATTCTCGGACACTTGTTCTGCAATCGCTTCTGATGATACAATGTCTAGCACGGGACAAACCAGAGAAGTACTCACGATCACCTCTGATCAATTTGCTCAAATGCTTCAAGAAGCTCTAGCGAAACAACGTGAAGAAATTAGAGCTGAGATGAAGACAGAGATGGAGTTAGCTATACAACAAATGAGAGAATTGCTAACTCAACGGCCTCAACCTCCTGAGTCCAGTCAACGAGCTGAATCCAGCCGCCATACTCAGAATGTGGCAGATGATAGTGACTCAGAAGTGGATGAAGTCATTATGGCTGATACACCTCCCAATAGCAATAACGCTGGGGGTGGTTTAACGCACCCTCCCAATAACGATATTGGGGGTGGATCAATGGCACCTCTTACAGGGGGTGGCTTAACTCATTCTCCTCAACATCCTTCGAATGAAGACATGGACGATGATGAGAAAATGAAAGAGCTTGAAAACAAAGTCAATGCTTTGATGACGGCTCAAGAAGTGAAAAGGACAGGTATTCCATGTCCCTATCCAAAAGAATAGGACTCAATACCGTATCCGGCAAAGTTTAGTCTGATTAACTTCACATCGTTTGAGGGGAAGAGTTCGCCAATTCAGCACTTGATTTATTTCAAGTCTCATTTGGACATGATCTCTGGAAACGAGGCTTTAATGGTCCGGTCATTCGTTGGCACCCTTCGTGGGCCCGCCTTCGATTGGTACCGACGGCTCAAGCCAGGGAGCATCAATTGCTGGGATGACATGGAAAATTTGTTCCTCAGCAACTTCTTCGATGATGATACCGAAGTGTCAATCGGAATCCTTTTAGATGAAAAGCAAAAAGACGGAGAGTCTATTGATAATTTTTTCAAGCGCTTCCGTGACAAGGCAATGAATTACAGAGATCCTGTTACAGAGGAGTTTATCCTGTAAACATGCCATAATAATCTCTCCATCGATGTCCTAGAAGCCCTGGGGGTTGTACCATCCAAAACTTGGAAAGAATTAAAATTACATGGCGAACAAGCTGAACACTTTCTTAAAAGAAAGAAAGTTGAAAGAAGCCGACCGATGACATCTGCAATCACTGGGAACGCGACTCCTGATCCGAGGTTTCAAAAGGAGTATTCTTTCGAAGATGATGAAGCTCTAGCCATCTTAAAATACCTCCTCGCCAATGACAAAATCGAGCTACCACCTATTAAAGATCAGGAGGGAGCTAAGAGGATTACGGATCCATACTACTGTGCATACCACAGAAGGGTTCTTCATCCCACCGAGATTTGCTTCGGACTCAAAAACAAAATCCAAGCATTAATTGACTCCGGCGTCATAACGGCGAAACAAGCCATGTAAAGACGACTCCTACTCCATTGGGTACACGAGTATAAACTGTTTTCCCTGACTCCGATAAGTATACAAGTATAAACTGCTTCTCTATCTCACTCCGAAGAGTATACGAGTATAAAGTGCT